TAGTGCTCGAGGCGGCTCTGTTACTGTCCCAGGTGCCCCTCACCATTGTGAGGACACGCCCTTTCCCTCCCAGCTTGCTAAATATTTATCACAAATAGACACTGTACTTCATCAAAGATTTTAAACCTTTTTATTTTGTACATATGTTTGATTTTTTTTGAATTATGACTATAAGTTGTAAATGCCATAAAAGAGAAGAAAAGGTATTAGCAACTGTAGTCGTCAGGATGAGTCAATAAAAAACTTGATAAATTGAAAGCTCACGATCATCAGTGAGCAGATCAGCGAGCTGGAAGATAGGGTTGAGTACTCCCAGGAAACACCAGGAAGGGACAAAGGGATGGAAGACATGAAGTAAAAAGACACAGAGGCTAGATGGGCTAGATGGGCAAGTGACTACTGTCATTGACAAAGAGGTCCCAAAGGGAGAGAAAAAATACACAGAGGAGAGGAAGAAATACTAAGACAAAAAATGGTTGTGAATCCACACACACACACCCCATCCCAGTTTAAGGAAAGATAAAAGACTTCAGGTTGGAAGGGCTTGTAGAGTGCTGAATAATGGAGATAAGAAAATATAGCCACAGAAAGGTTCTAGTGTGATTCACGAACACCAAAGACAGAGTAACGTTCTGGGAGCTTCCAGGAAAAAGCCAGATGGCACCTACAAAGCAACGATAGATGGACAATGGCTGTCTCAAGAGGCACTGGATTCAGGGAGAAAACGGGTTGCTGAGCACAAAGTGTTGATTGAAGGGCTAGAAATAAACTCAGGACGAAATTCACAATATATTTTGTAAATAAAGCAAAGCAAGTAACTTAGTACGTTGATTGAGGATTTACAACAAGACTTATTAACAATTCAGCAACCAACACGACTGGAATAGACAGGACCAGAGGGAAGTGAGTACACGCCAAGGTACTTATCCTTGCAGCTGTTGGTAAATTTAGGCTGTTGAAGGAGATTAAGAACCCATCACCAGAACGGTCTGCTACAATCACTTTGTTCTTGCTACCATCTGCAGTAGCAAAATTAGATGCTTCAACACCACATCGTAAAGCTTAACTTGTAGACAGAAATACCTCCCATCTCAGTACACATGCCCTTGGTTGACAGTGTGACTCTACACTCCCATCAACAGATGGAGTCCTCTTCTCCACCCTTGGTCTGGTCTGGTGACTTGCTTTCACAAGCAAAATGTGGTGAAAGGGACATTATGGGACTTCTCAGGCTAATTCTTAAGAGGCATTGCAGTTTGTGCTTTTTCCCTCTTGGAATGCTGCCCTGGATCCTCTGGTCCACAGGCCAGGGAGAGAATTAGGTGGGGCCCAGCCAGCCAGCCAGCCAGCCAGCCATCCATCCAGCCAGCCATCTAGCCATCTAGCCATCTAGCCATCCAGCCAGCCATCTAGCCATCTAGCCATCTAGCCATCCAGCCAGCCATCTAGCCATCCAGCCATACATCCAGCCATCTAGCCGTCCATCCATCCATCCATCCATCCATCCATCCATCCATCCATCCATCCATCCATCCATCCAGTCAGCCAGCCAGCCAGCCAGCCAGCCAGCCAGCCAGCAAGCCAGCCAGCCTTCTAGCCATCCATTCAGCCATCTAGCCATCCAGCCATCCAGCCAGCCATCTAGCCATCCAGCCAGCCATCTAGCCACCTAGCCATCCATCCAACCTTCTAGCCATCCAGCCAGCTAGCCAGCCAGCCAGCCAGCCATCCATCCATCCAGCCAGCCCTCCATCCAGCCATCCATCCATCCAGCCAGCCCTCCATCCATCCATCCATCCATCCATCCATCCATCCATCCATCAATCCATCATCAGCACTGGCCAACAAACATGTGCCTGAGGTGCTGAATGCAGCATCTGAGTGAGACCAACAAAAATGAGGAAGGGAACTGCCCAACAAACCCTCAGAATCATGAGAAAAAATAAATCACTGTTCTCAGTCACTAATTTGGGGGTGGGGGTAATTTACTATGCAATGATAGTCAACTAACAGTCTCCCCTTTTTGTTTTAGATTTATGTCTCACATCAGTAAATAAGATCAGGGAAAACTAAGCTACATACAGCATCATAGCTACAATGAACTCCATGAAATGCTTTTAGTTTTCCAAGCTCCATTGCACTGGAAGGATGTTGGGCTCAATCATGAACATGGCACACAATTCTGAACTATGCACTAACTTGAAAACCTAGTTAAGACGGATCTTTAAGCAAGTTGGCCCAGACACTTTTAGAAAAGAAGGAAAACAGTCTAACTCATTTTACAAGGCTCACATAATCTTTACACCAGAATCAGAGAAGGGTAATAAGAGAACAATAAAAGCAAAATGAGAGTCATTCCATTTTAAATGTGGATGTGAATTTAGCTGCATGAACCTCACATTTTTTTAAAAAAAACTGCATCAAGGAGAATTTGTCTCAAAACAAAACAGCAATGAGTGTACTGGCAGTGAGCCAATCCAACCATGTAACTGACACAGGATGGACAAAGGAAAAGGAAATGCCATGTTCATACATGCAGAAAAAAACATCTGATAAAGTTGACCCCTGATTTTTAATAAGAACTGTCAGCACAGAGGATAACTTTCTTACCTGATAGAAGCTACATACCAAAATCCTACAGCAAACACATATTTAATGGAGAAACTTTAGACACATCCCCTTTAAGATGGGAAATGGCACAAAGACACCTGCTATCACCACCTGTGGACATTTCCTAGGGGTACCTTGATGTGGAAAAGTTGCGAGCAGTGCTCCAAGTAGCTAAGCCTTAACCTAACAATGAATGCACAAGATCTTTATGGAGACAACAGAAGATGTATACAAATGGAAGATCTATATTAATGGAAAGTACCATGATTGTGGGGCTGCCCACATAACACTGCGAGATGTTAGGGCTCCCCAAGTAAATGTGTATTCTCAACAACACAATCCCAATAAAAATTGCAGAGTTTTTTAAGGAAGTTAAAAATTTTTTCTAAAGTTCATATGGAGGAATAAAGATCCACAAATAGCTAAATCAATTTTCAAAATGATAAGGGAACCTGGGAAAAACAAATAAAACAATGGGGCAGAAAAGAAATCCACGTACAGTGGGAGTGGATGTTTGATAAGCATGGCGCCATATATCCATGGGGAAAGTGCACAACTGAGAAAGAAAATTGTTCCAACGTGTGCAGAAAATGTGAAAAAAAAACAAACTATGAGGCTAAAGATAAAAATGTTGGAGGATGTCTTTATGACCTTGGGATCACAAGAGGCAGAATATTTATGCAACAGTAACCATAGGCAAGCAATTGATGGATTTGACTACAAGAAGAGTGATTAATTCTGTTCAACAGAGACACCTAGATGGGACCACAATATCCATTGGAAGACAAGATAGGTTTACAATCAACTTTATCAGGTGCTTGACGCAAGATATTTGCAATATAATTCCAACACGGAATATCAAGATTTTACTAAGAACATCTACAAAACAGTAAGAAAAAAACAGAAATCCAACAGAAAGTTGGCCAAAGATATAAATAGGCATTTCACAGAAGGGAAACATCTGGAAGGCTAACAGTGTATGAAGATATGACTACACTCATTTGTAATCAGAAAAATACAAATTAAAACAACCATAGCTGCTTCCTTATATCCATCATATTGGCAGAAATCAGCAAGTCCAATATTAGGAAGTGTTTGTAAGGACATTAGGGCATGGGAACTCTCATGGTCTATTAGTGGAGTATAAGCTGATATATCCCTTCTGGAAGCAGGCTGGTTCCAAGCTGCCCAGATTCATAAGGTTCAGGTTTCTATAGCTAAATATCTACTACCTGTCTTTCTACGTGTCAACGTAATTAGATCTAGAGAGCGTTAAGCAAAAAAGTTTTTAAAAAATGGAATAGAATAGAATCAAAACTCAATACCGTTTATGTAAATGAAAACCAGAATTTTTTTTCCATACAGAAAATATATGGGAAACATTACATATTTTACAAATGTGATTTATATTCATATCCCCAAGTTCTATCTGCAACACGTGATCGTGGGTACCTTTACAGAAGAATGAAGTGGGAACAGAGAGGGTAGATGGTGGAGAATACAATAAAGGGGATTTACACGGGCCAATGAGAACACTACCCCATCACCTGAGAAGCGTGATTAATTCAGTTCTCTACCCGTCTGGTCCAGCACATTTTCCCCCTCTGTAAACTGAAGGTCTGACTACCTGATCAAGTTGTTATTATTCTTATTGTAACATTCTCTGTTAATTTTCCATAGGTGAAAAATTGAGTTCTGCTAAAGATTTTTATTCATTACATATCTGACTGTGGAATCCTTCTTATAAAAGTTTCTTAAAGGTGTGAACAGAAGAAGCTATAAAAGAGCAGTGCTTCTCAAATCAGGTTCCTTCGTTCTGGGGGGTCCTCGGGTTCCCTGCCAGACTGCTCGCATTCGGGGTGGGTCCACGAACAGATTAATTCTGCATCATCTGTAGGATTTCTCCATGGCAGCTTGTGAATTGTGGCCAATGAGAACCCTACTGAGTTTTAGACTGCGTCAAGTGAACACAACAGGTGTACCACGGGCAGTCTAGCAGCTATCAGGAAAAGTCGGAAGAGGTGTGTCTTTGTTCCTGATCATTCCAGCATGAAGGTGCAGGGAGGAGTGTCAGCTGGGTGTCCTACAACTCAGCTAGGTTCCCACCACCCCCCCGGAGACAGCGCGGCGTCAGATCCCACAAGACCACCCCCTGCCCCACATTTCACATGCCAGTCACATATCCAGGTAGTCCCCCCCGGGCTTCTGACCAACCAGCTGCAGGCTGGAGATTCCAACAGCCTCCTCCAGCTCCGAATGAAAATCACAACCCCCTTGTCCCCTGTGCTCCTGGCCGACGGGCTACGGATCCCAGGTTCCCACCATCCCGTCCTCCGGTTCCATTCATTTGCTGGAGCTGCTCACAGAACTCAGGGAAACATGTTACTTACTAGGTCACCAGTTTATCCTAGAAGGACACAACTCAGGAGCAGCCTGATGAAGAGACGCACAGGGCCAGCGACCGGGAAGAGCACAGGGCTTCCCTTACCTCTCTCCCTGAATCTCCAGGAGCTCACCAACATGGAAGCTCTCCAAACCCTGTCCTTTAGGGGTTTTATGGAGGCTTCGTTACACAGGTGTGATTGATTAAATCACTGACCCTGGAGGTTCAACCTCCAATCCCTCTCCCCTCCCCGGAGGTCAGGGGGTGGGACTGAAAGTTCCAACCCTGTCCTCCCCTGTTGGTCCTCCTGGCAACCAGCCCCCGCCCTTGGGTGACCTAGGGGCATTCCAAAAGTGTCCCATTAACAAAACAAAAGACACCTTTGGCACTCTCCTCACTTTGGAAATTCGAAGAATTTTTGGAGCTCTGTGCCAGGACTAGGTTTTTTTTTTTTATTGTAAATCACAATATCACAATTTGAAGTACCAAAAGCCCAGTGGTGCTGGTAAGTCATGCCAGCCTCCAAAAAGCCCATCCTTGAGCTTGTCTACCATATCTGTGATATGATCAGTTTTAGCAAAACATCACCCATCACATTAAATGTAAGTCAGTTTAAGTTTGTCTTTAAACTGAAAGTTAGCTTAGTTTGTATCTAATTAACACTTCTGTTTTTAGTTGTTAAAGAGATATAAACCTTATTCTGGTTTTGTCTGTTTTTAAGTAACATTACAATGAAAATGCGGGGATTTCTTTTCCCCAGTATAGTGGATGTCGAGTGGACACTGGGGTCTGGGAGATTTACTTCCCTTTACAAGTGATCTGTACTCTTCTCAATCTGAAGCTCACTAGACCGTGGGGGGCAGACCCCGCTAGCCACCCGGCACATTTCAGTCCAGGGGGGCAGTGCCTCCTGGAGGGGTGAGGACAGTCGCCAGACGGTCAGCAGGGGCACGGGCTGCCTCCCTGTGTGGCACATGAACCTCCCCACAAAGGGGAAACATTCCACCCAGAGTCCTAACAATCAGAGATGTATTTGGTGAAGAGTAAAGTTTTAGAAGAATGCAAATGCTAGAGGGTTGAGGAATGGACTCCATTTAATTATTTTGCTACTGGGGAGGGAGCAGAAGGTGAGCTGAGGACAAAGCACAAGCTGACACCCCACAACCACCCCGCCCCCCAAGGTGGGATGAGTGTGACATTCCTCAGGCGCTCCAAGGGGCCCTAAAACAAAGGAAAGGGGAAAAACAAATGGCCAACTGATAGAGATCACAGCTCCATCAGTTTGCCACTGTCTTAAGGATTTACAAGAAAAAAGCAATCTCCAGAAACCTATTGACTCAGTTTCCTGGAGACCTGACATCACCCCCCAGCCTCCATAGGATAGAAAATCTTAAGTAATCCATCACTGCTCACAATCCCAGGGCAGCAGCTCTTTCTGCCCACAGATCCTGTCCCCGAGCTTTAATAAAACCAACATTTTTGCACCAAAAAATGTCTCAAAATTCTTTCTTGGTGGTTGGCTCACAGACCCTGCTCCAGACCACATCACTACGAGCTCAGAGCTAAAATGCACTGCACTGTGGGTTTAGATTTTTAAGTGGGAGGAGGAGGTAAATTAATTTCACTGGAGGAGAGGTAGGCCTGTCCAGAGACCAGTCCGTGGAGGAAGTGCTTGTGTACCTGGAGCTTCTCCAGGGGAGGGAGGGATTCTGCCAGACAGGAAGGAAAGTCTGGATCAAAAACAAAAGACTCAACAACACTGGGGCCGGGAGCGGCAGACCTGGGTCCTGTACCTGCCGAGAGCCATGATGGCGCCGCTTCGGATCCTGTTAAATGTTTAGGGAAGTAATCGGTGTGCTGAAGCACATGCGGGAAGTGTCTTTACCCTGTTCTGATAGTTTGGTAGGATGTGTGACAATTTCCCACACAAATAATTACAAAAGAGAAAAATCATAATGATAAAGAGGAAAACCGGATCACACCTTAACCAAGCAGTCAAAATGCACATTGCCCATGATGTGGGAAACAAAGGCAGAAGGAAAATTATTAGATTTCCTTACTATCTACAGCCCATTGACAAGACCTTGAAACAGGCAGTGACCTTCCTCTGGGAGCCCAGCTACCTCAATGTTAATACTTTGCTAACTGGTGTAAGAAAGATGTTGGGGTTCAAAGCCAACAGTTAAGAAAGAATTCTTGAGACGTCTTTGGTGCAAAAAGGTGGTTTTATTAAAGCCCGAGGACAGGACCCGTGGGCAGAAAGAACAGCAATGGGGTCAGGAGAAGTGGCCCATTATATACTTTCAAGTTGGGAGGGGTTTAGGGTAGGGTAAGTCTCTAAGGAATTTTGGAAGTGAGGTTTCCAGGACCTTGGTGGGGGGGGCTAGCTATTGTTGGGAAAAGGTCATTTATTACCGTCTAATAAAACCTGAGTCATGAGGCCCTTCAGATAGATGTATATCGGTGGGCCGTATGCTTGGGGGATGATTGCCAACATGTATCCTGGGGGTGGGGTAGAGATAAAGGAGGTTTCCAAAGGAATTTTTATATGTTAAAGTAGACTTACAGGATCCTGGGGGTCGGGCTAGGATTGCCTGTTGCCCTTAGCAAAGTGTCAACCTCAAGGCAGTGAGTCCCTAGAGGAAGGTCACTCTGCCTGTTTCCCGGACTTGTCAACGGGCTGTAGGGAGTAAGGGAATTTAATAATTTCTCTTCTGCCTTTGTTCCCACATCACTAAGGGCAAAACACAATCTTACACTTAACCTGCCTGGAGTGTGTGTGGCTGTTTGTGTGTATATGTGGGTGTGCGGGTGTGGTGTGTGGTGTGTGTGGTATTTTGTGTGTATGTGTGGAGCGTGCACGCGGTGTGGGTGCGAGTGTGGGACGCACGTGGTGGTGGCGGGGGGGGGGTTGTCGCGCCGGGGAGCATGGCTGCATCACGTGGCGGTGGTCAGCGCGGAGCTGGGCCTGGCGAGCCCCTGAGAACAGCCGGACGCGCCCGTGAGTCCCGGGATATCGGGGCGCCCACGTGGCCCCCTCCCTCTGCCTCTCCAGCAGCACCCAGAGCCGCGTGAGGAGAGCCCTGTGATGGGCTGAGCAGGACGGACAGAAGGACAGCAGGGAGCCTGGTGGAAGGCTGTGGCTGCCCCTGGAAGAGCGACCGCTGAGGCGCTGCCTCCATTTTAGGGGCTCTGGGACAGCAGACAGGGACACTGGGAGGAGGAGCAGTTTGAGGAGAAGGCCTAACGTCCTCTTAGCCTGCAGACCACGTGGCCTGAGCTCCCGAGCCCTGTGTGCCCCTCGTAGGAAGAAACCAAGACAGTAGGCGGAGGTTAGTGTTGCACTCAACCGCTGGGCACCCCGGGCCCCTGCCTGGAGCAGGGTCAGGGTTTCCACAGGACAAGGCAAGAGGGGCATGCGTCCTTGCAGCTGTTTCTATGGTAACCAGAGCTGGAGGGGGGCTCTGTTCAAGCCCAGTTCCTGGGACAATCCCTACAGCCGTGAGCGCGTCTGCTGGCGGTGGCCCGTGGGGTGAAGGGCAGGACGCCGCCACAGGGATCTGAAGGGGGCCAGGGCAGAAGCCAAGGGAGCCATGGGACACCTCCATCCTGCTTGTTTGAGTCCTTCGCACGGTTCCTGCCGGTGGCCAGGGACTTGGAGGGACCCAAACTGGAGTCCTGAAGGCAGCAAGTCAGGAGCAGGGACATGAGACTAAGTCACTTGTTGGAAGAGACCCAGCACACAGACCATTTACGCTCAGGAGGAAGGCTCAGCGCGAGTCTCACGCTCTAGGAGAGACACACCAATTCCGTGGGCCAGATGACCGGTTCTCAGCACTTCTCTCCTCTCTGGGGCCCCCAAACATGAACGTCTAGCTGTGCAACTCATCTGACCACAGCCACGTGTCCGGTTTGCCAGCCACACATCCACGTGCAGCCCCAACGTGGCACCGTGTCTTGCTGTGGATGCAGGGGCCAGATGTCACCTCAGGCTGCATTCCACTGGGGAACAGGTGAGTGCGTCTGTGGTATTTGCAAGAGACACCCAGGGACGGGAGGCAGTTGGAGTGACCGCGACCAGAGGTGACAGTGGAATTGCATCACGGAGACCTTTGGCTTGCCGTGGTTTCTGTGCCTTTTGAGGCCTGATTGCCCAGTTGACCAATAATTTCGTGAGCCAGCCAATCCCATTCCAGCAAGTGTCATTTTTGCTGAAGTTAGGTGGACTTTGACACCTGACACTTTGACAGCTGCTGTAACTGACGCTTTGCTTTCATTACATTCCAGTTAATCATTTGTGTGTCCGTCCTCACGCAGTTTGTGTACGACTCGAAGCAAGGTCAGGGTCTCACTCATGTTCATATGCCCAGAGCCAACACCTCGCCTGCTTTGTGCTGGGTGCTGCGTCGCTCCTGGCTTTGCTCTGTCTGACCATGGGCAGTCACGTGTCTATAACGGAAGAGGTCACCTCTAACCCCATCTGTGCTTGTGACCAGGAGGACCACAGAAACCCAAGGGAGCAGAGTCGGCGTGCTCTGAGGACGGTCTGAGAAGCCTTCCGAGGTTAACTGCAAGAATTTTGTGCTATTTACTGTCACTGTCCAGATTCCTTTACTCTGAGTTTCTACCAGCCTGCTGGTTTGTTGGATTTTGCAGTTCCAGAACCTTGCAGAAGGGTGGAGTACTGCGGGGGCTCCTTGACAGTGTCGTACAGAGCAGCCTGGGGGAAGGGGTGCATGTGGTGAGCATAGCCAGGTCCCCGAGAAGGTCATCACCCATTTCCCAGGTAGCGCCAGTGGGAGATCCATTGTCCAAGGGGCAGCCTTAGATTTCAGCCCAGGGCTGATTCCATGCCAGGTAACATTCCTTATTGTATGGTTAATGCTGGTTGTGCTTTTCAGGCAGCCATAGCCTTTAGAGAGAGTCCAAATCCCTCTGGCGGCCAGGAAAAACACAAAGCAGAAACCATCAATAAAGATCATCCCTTAGGGGCGCCTGGGTGCCTTAGTCGTTAAGCATCTGCCTTCGGCTCAGGTCATGATTCCAGGGTCTTGGGATCAAGCCCCACATCGGGCTCCCTGCTCAGTGGCAAGCCTGCTTCTCCCTCTCCAACTCCCCCTGCTTGTGTTCCCTCTCACTGTGTCTCTCTCTGTCAAATAAATAAATAAAAATCTTAAAAAAAAAAAAGATCATCCCTTAAC